GACATTCATAATCAGATTTATCAATTTGATCTGAATTTCAAGAATTTATTTCAATTAATTATTTTAAATAAAATTGTTCAACTTTTTTTTTTGTTTTACCTTAAGTTGATATTTGGTGATTGATCAATAAGTATTTGAAAAAGTTTAATTAATTCAATACGTTGTTTATGTTGAATTATTTTACAACATAATATTGTTCATAAATGTAAATATTTTTCTAACGAATTTCCAATATGAATTATTAAATTTTGTAAAATTTTAACAATTGAAATATTTAAATTTTGTTCCAATGTTTTATTTAAAAATTTTTTCTTCTTGTTTGAAAGTACATGTTGACGAAGTAAACGAAAAAATATTGAACATAATTGTTCAATTTTATCACTTTTTGATTGTTTACAACTGAGAATAAGAAGAATGTCAAATTCATTCGGAGTTAATGCTATTAAACTAGTAGATTCAATCATTGAATTTGATACATATGTTAAATAAGAAAGTAGAATATCAGCTAAAAAAAAACAAATCAATTTATTTTTATTATTTGTTTCTAAGAAAAACTACGTATGATCAATTTGCATAATATTCCAAATGAATTCAATAATTAATTGTTTATTTTCATTTAAAAAATAACTAAAACATTTCATTAAATATTTTAAATATGATGTACTACTCCAAATTGTCGCTAATATTCATATATGAATAATATCCTCATATTGTTTATTTTTAATTAATATAACATCTAAATAATTTTCTCTTATACAACATAATCATAAATCATCGATTAATTCTTTTCTAATTATATTTCATTTTCATCATTATAAAATAATTGAAGTATTATTTGTAAATCTTTTGTAAGACATTGAACAAATATATTTTAATAAAATTCAATTTTTTTTATTTCAAAATTTTCTTGATTAGTAATTTTTAAATTATTTAAATAATCAATAAATTTTATTATTAATATTTATAAAATTTATAATAATATAATCAATTTGTTTTTGTATATAAACACATAATTTATAAATGAATGTTTTTAATAATAATAATGAATGTTGAATATATTCAATAAATATTTCATAAAAAATTTAAATTAAATTCTTCATTATTTAATGAAATTTTTTTATTAAATAAATTTAATCATTGTTTATCATTTTTATGAAATAATTCATCATAAAATGGTTCGAATAATAAATGTATAAAAAAACATGGAAATGTTTTTCATATAAATTATTTGATACAAATGTTATTAAAAATTGAAATAAATATTTTGTCATTTAATTTACCTATAAATAA